AAGAGTTTATCAATTAGCGGGTGATCTACATTGACTAAAAACTAGGATTAAACCCATTCAGTGACCCAAAAAAATACCCCAGTGAAACAATTTTTGCTCTCAAATTGAAGCACCTGCCACAGCAAAACAATGGTTGAACTAAATTAACACATTTGCACAAAATTGAAGTCGCCCAAAACATTTTAAACTAAATTTTTCGCTAAATTTTAATTGAAAAAATAGAGACAGTTGAAACAGATGATTTGAATAAGACTGTTCGGAAAAAAACAACGCGTTTGGGACAGATAAGAGTTGCACATGCGCCTGAAATCAAATCCCAACCTCAAGTTAATATGTAAATCATTTGCCGCTGAGCCACAAGGCTACCGAATAGCCTTTTATTTACTTTGATGTAAATTAAGTGCACTGGAGCAATCAATATACTGCAAGCCATCGCCATGCACTTCACACGTATATGTTAAGCAACAGCTATAAATCGCACGTGGATCATCATCTGACCCCAACTGAAAAAAAACGACATCACACAATAGCACAAAACTACTATTAAGCTTTTGCTCAGACCATTGAAAATGCGGAGCAACTTTTTATTAGTTCTTTCTTTTTTGTTTTCCACACAAAATCAGATACCACAAATAATCACCGGGATGTATCATCGTGTGATATATCATATTAAATCCCTTTCAGTCGTGATTGGTTGTCCCAATGTCGAGAAAAATGGTTTGAAACTTTACTCTTATTTCGAGTGAGTAGAGTAATCGACTGATGTTCGTTATATAAAAATTAGGGCAAGAAAACCTGGTTTGATTGAAGGAAATACTGGCTTTAGAAGCTTCATTCAGCATATGTTTGGCAATAAAACTTTTCTAAAAAAAAGTTTTAAGTAATAATTGTGCAAAAAAATGGAAAAAAAAATTAGAATTTTTTAAATTAATTTTTTCACGTATCCTCTGCCATTCGTTGTTTGAACACTAATGTTGTCGCTGATGTCTAACTCACTCCGTTTCTAAGCATTAAAGAATTATCTCATCGCATCACGAACTAAAAACGACACTTTTTTGAGAAAAAAAATTATGTTTTTATGTGGTTTTAACGTGGTCGAACATTTTGTGCTACCTGTATATCAACCGGTTACGTTTTTAGACCGATTATCCCAGAAGAATGGGATAGAACTATGTAGAGTGGGTTTTGTTGCCATATTTTAAGTACCACGAAGAAAGCATCAAGGCGTCAATCGTGTTATCTTTTTGAAGCCCTCAAAAATATAATGTTATTCAAAAAAGTTCACAAAAAGTATTGCGTGACTAGAAAAAACGGTTCTGAATTTTCATTTTCTGACTTTTTCAGACAGAAAAACTGAACTTCCCATCAGATTTTTTTCTGTCTTTTAAAGCTTTCGACATTAATCAATAACTTTTTCATTCAATTAAAAACTTCAAAAATCAACAAGTCACCCTGTCATAAATATATTTTTAATCTGATGAAAAAAAGTCAGCAAAAAAAATTCCTTGAATTTGGAATTTCCAACACAAAATTACATGGTCCTACTTTTTGCGCAACTTATACAGCAACTATCTATAATTCAATTGGAGCTGGTTTTGAAGAAAATAGCTTTTTAATCATTTAACCATTCCAGCTCTATCAATTCAGTAATACAGTTGTTCCGCGTATCAAAATTTGACCAATGTTTTTAAGCTTAAATAAAATTAGCCAGATTATTAGCATAAATAACACTGGTATAAAAAATTTATACCACAAAGACTCTATTAATTCTATGCAACAACCTTTCTATTGAGAACTGAAACCAAATAAATTTTTGCCTCCTTTATCCAAATTTTGCTGTTATTTCGCAGAGTCATAGACAGAGTGTGAGAAAAACTATTCAAGAAAAGTATTATTTAAATGAGATGAGAATGATAAGATAGGAATGAGGGTGGTGAATAGGAGTTATTCTAATATGTTTTTTTTCGCCATCGAGTTTTGAAACATTCTTGGTAATCAAAAGCTAATCAAAACTACAAACTGGGGCATAAACTACAAACTGGGGCAAGACATCCTTCACTTTATTTACACAAGAGACGAGGCCGAGCTTGGCAAAACTTCAATACACAGAAAAATTACTGTAAAAAAATAACAAATTTTCTTTCTATTTTCCGTTTTCATGGCCGCAAAAAATATCAAAAAATAGTTAACTCCTGAAAAACATTGGCAACAGAAAGTTTGGAAAGACTCAATGAGTGCAAGTAAACAGAAAAAATACTTGTTTTTTGAATAAATTTCAAATTTCGAATAAGAAAAGATACCCTTAAAGCTCTTTGAATTTCTACAAAAATTCAAAGAGCTCCAGCCTCAAAAAATTTTGGGCAAAAACTCAAAATTTAACAATTTCTTATTAAAGGGTTGTAAAAGTAGAGAGAAAACTAAAGGGTGATTACTGACTCTGATTAAAAAACAGAATGAAAACTAAGTCGACAAGAATTGAGGCAAAAACAAATGAGCCGAAAATTCTACAACCATGCATACCGAAAAGCTATACCAGCACTCGACTTCCAGACCTTTGGAATTTCAAACAGGTGCTTCACAACTAGATTAAGCTAGAAGCTGCTCGAAATTGATTTACGTTTCACTTTGAAGCAAGTTCAATTTCGCACAGATTTGCAAGAAAAATGCTCTAGCAAATGTGATAGCACTTAATTTTTGAATGGTAAAAAAATAAGTTTTCATCATTCAAAAAATCAAGGGATTTTTATGATTTTAATTTGAAAATCCGTTATAATTGGTTACACCGATAGGTTCATAAATCTTCGTGCCCCTTAACGTCAACTTTCATTGAAATTGAAAACTAGCGGTGAAAGTTCGTCTGCACAAATAATCGAATTTATGATCAAAAATAGTAATTTATGTGCTACTTGGTTCGAGCTCTGTCTGAGACATGAAACACATGATGATTACACTGAAGTCGAAAAAAGGTGATAAAAAGAGCAACAAAACTTGTTCGTCTCAAATGTCAGTCAGCCTGAGAATGAAATTAGGAGAGAGGAGAAAATAAGAAGGAACCCAAAGTGGTTTCTCTTCTCGCTCTGATTGGAAATGTTCACTCGACAACAAAGGAAACAAAGATTAGATTAGAGTATCAACTATGGAAACAACAGTTGCTAACCAAGTTGTTTAAAAAATCTACCTCAGTCACATTTGGAGCGCAAAAAACTGACAACAGAACGAAGCACTCATGTAAAATTGACTATAACTCAAGTCTTCATTTTTTGCAAATAAAGCATCTGTGTTCAGTTAAGGTCTCATAATTTTGTTTTAATCAAAAAAAAATATTTGAATTATGCAAGAAGCAGTAGGAATTTTGGCATTACCTTTCTTTTTTTCACAATTGATTATTCAAGTTTTTCTTGAGCGCTTGCAATTTTCTGAATTCAATTTCTTCGGGCCAATGTATTTGCAACACAAATATAAATGGACATCCCTGGCATCCACACAGAAACTATTTGCAAATCTGGCTGAAGTTTTTCGGGAGTTGAAATTTCTATCTTCTTTGTCTTCTAAGAAGTATTTTTTAATTAAATAAACCGAATCAGAATGAACACCTATTTTCAAAAACCTATTTTCAAAATGCTTTGTGATTGAATTTCGACATTAATAGGTTGATAGCAATATTGAGATTCAAAACTAATTTGCTAGTACAAATTTCAAAAGAATTTAGAAACCTGAAGCTAATTTCTCAACTTTCAAGTCAAAATCGAAAAAAAAATCGATTTGGTGCAGAAAAAAAAACGAAGAAACAAACGCTCAGAAAGTACCTATTCCTCAATTTTAAAACATCAAGTTGCTAGGAGAGCATCTGTATCATTTCGTTAAAAAACATATCGCGTCCTTTTGACCGCAAAAAAGTTTTAAGTAATCGAGGTGTGTACTTAATTTACATGTAATTTTGAAGCTGGTCAAATTGAAGCCAACTTTTCCTCAAAAGAGCGACCAGCGAAGCGTTTAAAAATAAACAGTCTTTGAATGTCTGCAAAATCACAAACAAATTTTGATCACAACCTGGACACTTAGAAGTTTTGCCAGAGAAAAATAAATAAATGGAGAAACTTTCGTCCAAATGACCGTAGGCCACAGTTTTATTGTCTGGCGCTGGCTCCAGGCTTCCTTTTTGAGAACATTCACACTTATTTGATCAGCTCTCAAACGCAGCTCGAGTATTCCTCGCAAGATGATTTGATCCCACACATAACCCTTAAAGTCCGGAATTCATTGGTTTAATTTAAACTCTTTAATCAAATTTAATGGAAGGGGGTTTTAACTGTTGAAGCGAATATTGACTACGGGTTCTAAACTATTACTTCTATGCATTTTCAGTAAAAGAAAAACCGCCTAATCTCAGTTTACGTTCACCCTTTTTGGAGGTCTAAACTATGTGACAAGAATAAACAGCTGGAAGACATTTGTGTTACTTGGTTCCAATTCAATGACAACTATAATATATATATATATATCCGTTTTTAGGTTATTTGTCAAAATTAATTCCTGGAAATTTAAAAACAATGCGCACATAGTTATGAAGTTTCAATGAGAACTTTCAAAACACGATTAATAATAATGTGCTTCGTTTTCTTTGTGTTTAATGACTACCCCCATCCCTCTGAAAAAGTGGACGTATTCGTTTAACATTCGCCAAAAATAAACAATGTTAATTAAGACAACCAACGAGGAAAAAGACCAAAATACGAGCTGATCAGCTCCTCACAGAGAAACGCTGATGTTATACTAGCCGAGATTTACATGCAATTTTTTAAGAAAATTTTCTAGGCAATGTTGCCCCATATCCTCAAAAAACGAACAAGGATCACGGTGGGTCTCGAACCACCGACCTTTTGATTGAAAGGCAAAGATTTCGCCGCCTCAACAATGCAGACGAAGGGACTGACCTGGTTCTAAAGCAGTAGCTTCTAAAAAAACAGAAAGCGGAACATTAGGAAGAACTGGTGACTGACCTTGAAGGCGTCGAAGCATACGGTGACTTTTCCGTTCTGAATGTCGACATTAGAGGAGGGGTGAGCATATTTGCACTCTGTGTTGTCCCGCTTGCACGACTGACGCAGGAACTCACGACACACCTCCACCTTGAATACATCAACAATTTGAAAACGGGAGGGTACTCTTTTTCTATACTCGGTTCAATTGTCATTTAGACTTAAGCGTTGGGTCATTGTTCCGAACATAGAAAATGGGGAGGAATTTTGGATTCGGGTGAGTTTAATTTTTTTTACTTTTTGTTTCCACACAGAATCAAGTGCCACAAATAATCATCTGACTGGACATTTTAAAATTTTGAAAAAGTTTTCTTTGTGTCGAGAAAAACCGGTTTGAAATTTTTGATTTTGTCGTAATTCGAGCGAATAAAACAAGCGAGCATGCTTACAACAGCTTAATTAGGACAAATTTAAACTTTAAGTCCCACAAACTTAACTTTAAGCAACTTAAATTAATTTTGGAAAACATTCTGGGAACCAAAAACTTCAAAAAACTGGAAAATTTTAGGCAAAAAAAGTTGAAACAAAATTTTTGAAATCTTCTGATTTTTGATTAGTTCTGTTTTCTAGTAAATTTTCTAAAAAACGCTTGTGTCTTATTTGCCTGTATTTACTATGAATATCAAATATGCCTTAAATATAGTTTTACATCAGACTTTTTTTATCACCCCACGCAGAAAAACTAATTAGATAAAAAAAGCATTATCAAAAATTTGAAATAAAATTCGTTTTGAAATACAAACAAGGATAGACGGTTACTTGTGTCACCAGTCTTATTTTTTTTTCAAATTAGTGTCGTTTTTTTTTGTATGGTGTGATAATAAAATCTGGACGACAAAATAGAAATAAGGCAGACGTGACAATCATAGTCAAATAGAACAATTGGAAAACAGTTTTAATAGCGAAATGGCTAGAAAAACCAAAAAAAAAAATCGTAAAAACAATTTTAAAAAAATTCAAAATATTGAAGTTTTTGATTAGCAAAATGACACTAATAATCCAAAAACTAACTTTACTTGAGCAAACTAGGTTTTAACGCTTAATTTGAGCTTAAATAAGCTTTTGTAAGCCTGCACGTTAACCTTTTTAGCTCGAAATTAGACCGAAAAATCAAAAATTTTAAACCGGTTTTTCTCGACACTGGGATAATTAATTTTTAGAGTCGTTCGAACCACGACTGAAAGGGCTTTAATATGATATATCACTCGACCCATTACGATAATTTTATTGTGGTACCTGATTTTGCGTGGAAAGCAAAAAGAAAAAACTAAACCACACCCGAATACAAAGTTCTGCACGTTTTTCAAATGTTCGGAACAAAAAAGTTCTATTAGTAGAAATTCATGAATTATGAAAATTTCTCTCCCGTTTGAAGACAGCATGAAAAACTATGGGGTTTATTAGATATTCAAGTTTTAGAGAAAATACAAGACAATACGAGAAACTTGAACTGCAGAAGAAGCTTAATAGTTTACCTGTAGCCACGTGGGATCTCTAGCCAAGGTGCCCCCTGTCGAGTTTGGGGGAGGAGGAGGGGCCAGATGTAGGTGGGGGTTAGTAGCGGCCAGGGCAGCAATGTTTCCGATGAAGGACATTTTCTGCTGCTAGTTAAATTCCTGGAATTGGTGACTTCTAATAAATAAAATTCCAGAAACAAGAAATAAATGTAATTTGAAATAAAAACTCCAAATTGCAAAATATATTGTTATAAACTATGAATAGTATACAACGGCTTGTAAAAGAACTCTTATGAAAGAATGATAGAAATCAAAGTCGTTTTTTTTTTCAAAATAAGATTCTATACCATTATACGGTCAAGTATCCAAAAGTTTGAAATAACGGTAAAGCTTTGAAATAAGTTACAAAAGCGCCCATAATTCGATGAAAAGGTAAAAACAGTCAATCAAATTGCAGCTAACTAAGACAAACCAGGAGATATATTTTTCCTTTTTGCGTTAGAAAAAAAGACAAATTATGTTTTTCAATTAACGTAGGGATGAAGCGTTCCTCAGCATATAAAAAGCTAGAAATCTCTGCGAATGTCCGGTTAAAAAAAGCGAGGTCTTTTGTATTCTGTAAGTTGGTCTCGATTGTTGAAATATGGCCTTTCTTTTATGGTTGACGAGAAACAAAAGTCGCTACTTTTCCCCTGCAAACTAAACGGCTTTCGTAGTTGATGCTAATCGTTACTTGTGTTTTTCTTTCAGAGGGGACCGCTATCTAAAACAAAAGAGCAAAAGTTAAGATAAAATTGGACCAAAAATATGTTGAACAAATTATAATAGAATTTGCGATCAATGTTGGTGGTATGAATAATTCAACTTGCTAGTAAGCAACATAACGTCTTATCATCGCTTTTAACTCAGTCGCAATTAGGCGAAAAGGAAACAAAAAAGAAGCATTTTTTTATCAAAGCATCGACTACAAGATAGAGTAAAAAGATGACAGGAATCGAAACTTGTCAATAAATGTTTTGAAAAAGAAGAGCGAAAATGAACAATGGGGCCAATTTGTTCATGGTAAACTATAAACTAGTACCTAAAATACCACAACACTCAAATGGCGCTTCCCATTTTCCAACCTTTTTCGATTCTCTTCAAAATGTCGCAGTATTTCTAGTAGTTTGAACAGTCAGAAAATACATTTATTTTTAAGTTGAGAAATTATATTTACTTTGAATCGTGAATTAATCTGCATGGCAAAAGACTTTGGAAATATTTGATGAAGCAAAAAAAACAAAGAAAATCTTATTTTCAAAAAAGTATTTTTGTAGCAGACAGCTGCTCATTTCATCTGCCAAGATGTCTCTGAAAAAGACATATATATGAAAGAAAAAAACCGGAAATTGGACCAACTTGTATTTAAAAGGACAAGAAACTAAAAACAATTTGTTAGGAAAAAAAACGAGGAAATTAACTTCAAACGAAAACGATAGACATTATGGTCACCAAAAAAATCATAGAGAACTGCAATTTGAATCAATCGTATCAAAAATACAGCTTAAGTTTTATTTGTTTCCTTTTTGTATGAAGCTTTATTTTGGATGGTTTTAAAACAGCAGGCTTTGGAGTCATTGACAAGGCAAATAATGCTTCTAATAGACTTAAAGTGATCACACTGATAAGAGGGACATCTATAATCCAAATCATAAAACAGTAATAGTTGTTCTTGAGATGGCACAGAAAGTTCCGTGCTGAAACTCGCTGTTTTACTTTATAATATATCTGACAATATAAAACAACTATTTAGCGATAAGTTTAACCGGTTTACTTTGCCTAGCATCAAACAAGTATGTTTCTTCTCAGAGAAAGACCAAAATTGTCGCAGTAAAAATGTAACACTTATACTGCTGTAAGCAATGTTTTAAAATCTTTTGCATTTTACCCCGCACCTGATAGTTCCGACCACCGAAGGTGAAAAGGAACTTTGGATAAACTTTTGGACCAGGAGAACAATCTCATCATAAACCAATCAATTAAGGGGGAGATTGTTTATTTGGTTACAGGTAACATTATTCAGCCAATTAGATTTCAGCATAGTACATCATGTTGGCCTTAGTGCATGAATTAATGATATATAATCGATAAGTTAGAATTAAGTTTTTGGTGTCGGATATCGAGCTGCTTTAAAAATGTTCAGTCCGAGAGCACTTATAAAACTGACGAAAAAATCAATCCATGGACCAAAGTTGTCGCACAACTCAGGTCTATAAATTGTTCAATTAAAAGTAACGTTTTTCAAACTAAGTTAGTTATTTAGTTATTCTAATAAAAGATCATACATGAAACCCTTATCAGAAAACAAATCATTTGCAAACAAGGTGCTTGATTTTGTCTAGAAATGACAAAATCCTATGTGGTCGGCAAAATTGTATAGACAGATGCGGATGGGAGCTTCGTACCACTTGCAATACCACCCAAATATAGAAACACAAAACGAACAAAAGAAAAAAAGTTGAAAAAACTAGGTCTACCAAAAACGTTTGTTTTCTCGATAAAAGATCAATCTAGGCAAGCATGCCTAGAAAGACATTTGAATATTAAGCACAAAGTCGAAGCGGAGCGTCGCACCAATTGCGATACCACATAGAACTGGCATTACAAGCTAGTCAGAAAAAATTGAAACCAGGTCAAAAAACCCAAATTACAAAAATTTAATTATCTTGAATCAATAATGTTCAATTTGAAGAAAACACGTCCAGCGATACAACCAAATAAAATTCAGAAACATTCACAGCGTGAGCAAATTCCAGTAGAACCAAAAATAAATGTTGTCAAGAAAAATTTTAAATTACTAAATCTATTCTGTGACTTTTATCTTTTTCGGCAATCCGGAGGGAAGCACAAAAACTGTGTTTCCCTTGACAGGACCCTAAATTTGGTCACTAATCTGATTAAATATAAACAGAAATTATTTGAGGCAACTTAAGTTTTTAAGCGAAACAAAAAAGTAAAAAGTCAAGGTAAGTAAAACTACAAATTGCGGGAATAAATCATTCAAAAACAGCAACTGCAAAAATTGCGTACAGTAAAAAAAGACTAAGATGCGGCAACTAACCCGAAAAAACGTTAGCATACAAGTAACAGGTCTACAATTATCTTTAAAACAATATATTACAAGTCCTGGCCAGATTTGAATAAAGGACCTTTGCGTACCAGGCACATTCGTTACCTCCAGGCTTAAGAGCCAGAAACGCTAAGAAAGTTGAATTCATTATGAAGCAAGGTACCACTAGAAGATGATCCAGTTCAGTCCTGTTAACAAATTTGGTTAAAACAAAAAGTCTAGTACCCGGTTGCAATACCCTTGCTATCTCCAACGGCAATAAAAGAATCATATGACTGCACTGTCCAATACCATCTATTATCAAAAACACACACTAATAATTCAAACTCAGTTTTACAAATTGACTATCTCAGAAAATATATCATTTGTTCTCTTTTAATTCAAATTTAACTTACGGAATTCCAAAATGCGAGTTTTTAATCTTAAATTAATTGATTGTTTTCAAGGAACTTACACCACGAGAAAACAAACTATCCAAATTTCGAAGCAATTCACTTTCATTAATTTTAAAAATTAGATTAACAAGGGCATAGCATTGAAAAGTATATCAGAAATCGCGGTATATGTTTACAAAAAACAAACTATTTTGAATAAAAGCAAAATTCATTTCTATGATTTTTCGAGGTAGGCTTTTTGTTAAATGAGACCATTCGTATTTTGTCATTTTTACTCATAAGTTTGCCGACACAAATAGTAAACCATAAAGATTGTGTTTTTTTTCTCCAAAAACTCCACTTTAGCTGACTGAAAATCAGTCAATTATATAAGCAAAATGTACGAAAATTTCAAATAGTCTTTAATTTTAATTTTAAATAAGACTCCATTTATCAAAGAACTTAAAGATCCGCTTTTGCCTTACTTCAAATTCAGCTAAACTAACTCGGTCTTAAATAGCCAATTTGAGAACGCAAACCCTGATATAGCCAATAGGTCTGTTGCAACATCATATATGGTTAAACTAAGCCACACGCAAGCTGATAGTATTGTCCCGTTAAAAATTTTATGCAGTGGAAAACATTTTTAAATGTTTCAAAGAAAACAAATTGATAAAGTGACTAGCTCTGATGAGTTCTTTGCTTTTTTAGGCTTGTTCTAAATAGAATTCTTATTTTCTTCTCGACGGTCCTATTCATTTTATTGAGAACACTGAAAATAAATACATTCCATTACCTTGTTTAAAATTTTTTCCGCAAAACTCAAAAATGCCGGTATGTCAAAATTTGAAAAATTAGATTTCAATAACGATCAAAATTGGAAAATTGCAAAAAAAATTGACAAAAATTGTTCCGACTTTTTTTTTACCTTTGTCAAGTCTGAAAAAAATTAGTATGCTTGCGATTGTCTGGATTTAGTCGTCAGAAGCTCTTTCTTTCACAATGAGGAAGTTGTTGGTAAAAAAAAAACGTTCGTTTCAAGAAGATCAGTCGTAAATATGACTTACGCTTTGTTTGTCGGCCAGAGTAGGCGTGATTTTAAACACCTTATACTTGATGGTTGGCGAAAATCAAGGTAACATTGGCTGTTTTACAAAAAGAATTTGCTATTTTCGTGACGTTGAAAACAAAGATTTTGTTTCAATTTGACAATTTGGCGACAAATTCAATCGAAATGAAACCTAATTAAGGGCAAATAATTTGCGGCAAAACAGGCCATTTGACAGACTGTATAAAAACAGGTAAAGGTGTCTGGAGTTAAGGGAGGCGTAAAAAAGAAGAGCGCACTTTCCAAGGTAATCACCTGGCCACAATTTCTTCTAACTTCAGACACCTGGACCAGATCTGAGTAAAGAGGGTATAAAATAAAATCGAGTTATAAAGAGAGATCTGGAAACAAGGTTTATCCGTCCAGGAACAAACGAAGTGGCCCAGTCGCAAAACAAGATTTACAAATCAGTTACAAAGATACCACAGCCTCAATTTGTTTAAAGTTCTGGCGAAACGGTTACTGGGGGACTATTTTATTATTTATGGACGGGCGATCTCCGTCTTTTTTTAGCCCTTCTGAGGCAATAAGTTAGTAAGTACAGTCCTAGTTAGTTAAACCACTACTTCAGCAGTCAGTTATATATAAATTAAATAAATCGACTTCAGTTTGGCGTTTATGTATGACTATTATGATTCAATTCAGAACTGGTTGTAAAGTAGCTTAGTTGAAACTAATACTAAACTAGTCCTATTTTGTGATTTTCTGACAAATAACTGCTCTATAGAAGATATCCTACTCTTGATTCTTGTTTGATTGTGCCGGCAGTAACTTCAAGTTTGTACAGGCTTAACTGATATGCAAAAGTTCTGAGCAAATTTAAGTCAAGAAAGAACCGAGAAAGGGGGCATTATTGAAGTGAAATGCGAAGAAAATCGACCAATCTAGATCGGAAATCTAGAAAACGGAAAGATCTAGACTGGTAGCCTCGTTTGGTACAACAAAACCAACTGCCCGAAATACTCAGTACACCCAACTGACCGAAATGGTTGCTAAAATCATCCGCTTAAGAAAAGAATCGAAACACATCACATTCAGATTCAGCGAAACTTAACTTTTCGACGGAATGACTTTGATAAAGAGGCTTTCGTTACTTTAATTATAAATTTGCTGTTTCCAATAAATTTGTTGTTATCGAGATATTTGTTTTTTTTTCTGCTCTCCACCTAAATGACTGGCTAATTGTTCCTCCATTATACCGATGCCTTAAGCTGAGAAAAACCCTGAGACCCAAGCAGTAGGGATTAAAAGAGTTTCCAGAGACCTCTCCTCTGTAGCAAATCTACAACATTTTGACCTCAGACATAGTTGAAGTCAGTTTCAGGCTTCATGACTACAATTTTATCGATTTATCTGAACCCTTGTTTAGGTTTATGAAGACTCGGGATTGATTTGCTACAGGGGCGCCCAGGGAGAGGCAGTTAAAGCTCATTAACTGATTAGAATGTGGGGGGCTACACTATTTGCCTCGTAACTGACAAAGTGGTAATTTTGTTTATGATGTCCAGGAAACAACTTAAACTTTCGAAATAGATTCAATGTCAGGTTTAAAGAAAGTTTCCGAGACGAAATTTTGCAACTATTTCTATACTTGATAGCAATTCTTTGAAAAAATAATTGACAAATGTGCACTTCGACAAATGCGATGGTAGCAGATTTTTGTTACATGCGATGGTAGCAGATTTTTGGTAGCAGAAAAACGAAAAAAAAAACGATCAAAATGTTTCAGTAGAAATCGGCCAAATTGCTTGTCGGCTAAAAACGTTTAATAAGGTATAGGACTGGTCAGTGATTTGTCTTAATCTGATTTCCTATTAGAGATTTCTACTGATTTGAACTCGGCCAAGCAAGTCCAAAGTTACTAATACTATTCAACTCTTGCTAATACCATTCAAGTAATAGCGAGGCTCCAGTTTGCAGTATAAACACTAACTTGGTAGAATTCATTCCATTAGAACTTCATATTATTCCTTTTGAGTCTTTATTTAGAGAAGTTTGAATGGCTCCAATTATTCGATTGAAATCTAACGGAGCGTTCTCGCTTCTTGGGTACTTTTATGAAGAAATTATGAAGGTCAAAACAATTATTACTAGACCTATGTATGGCGACCTACACATTTTAGATTAGATAGAAGCTCGGAAAAATCGAGATTTTCGAAGAAAGATTAGTCTTATGGGCTCAGTTATTAGTTGTTGGGACCTAGAGATAACAGGACCGAGGTTGAATCTTTAACTCAAACTAAAACAGATTACAGTGTGGTTGCCCAGCAGATTACAGATTCTAAGCAAAAACAGAAAAAATGGCCCTATTTTACCGAGAACTGAAAAAAAGTATTCAAATCTTCTGAAGAAACTAGCAAAAAAAAACATTTAACTTTGTGAGGAAAAAAGAAAACATTCATTTTCAAATGAGGCAAAAAATTCTACTTCAAAAACATATGATTTTGGCGAGGATAGACTGAACAAAACGTTCGACTAAAAAGTACCACTGGCTAGTTTGTTGTGCCGTTGGTACAGACCTCGCGACGCTGAAAAAGTTGGCATTGGAGAATATCGTTCAGAGCAATTGAGATCTTCAACACTAAATTGAGAAGCTTCAAAGACAAAATTTCCTTCATTCAAATGCAGACCTTTCCAACTAATTAGATTAAAATTACGAACTGACAAATTTACTAAAAATGAAAAACTGGATAATCGGCATCTCACTACTCTGCACAGTACAACTCGCCGGGGGGTGGGGGGATCGACAATTACCGGGGAAGTTAGACATTTTTTTGAGCAGAAATGGCGTTTTTAATTGCGGGGAAGAGGGGGGGGGGTTCAAAATTATCAGGGGGGTCACGCAAATTTGGATCAATGCTGATAATATAGAAAAAAGCCACAAACGTTCCTGAACTTAAAATTTGTCAGAAAATATCTGTTATTTAATCCAGGCGACCATTTTTTTGCGTGGAGAAAACAGTATTTTTTATTTGGAGCTCTCTAACAAGGCATATTTTTCTAAAAGTTTGGGTCAAAACAAAACTTTATGATAAAAAAATTCCCGTGGGGTCCATTCAGACTCCCCAAAAATTCGAGAGGTCAAAACTCTAGGGGGGGGGGGATGGTGGGGTCTATGACGAAGTCGATTTGTGTTGCGGGAGTTCCCGGCAATTTAGAAGTGCAGAGTATGTACATTAATTGTCTGAATAAGAAAATTTCAAAGCATGTTTTTTACATCCAAATCATTGATAAGAAATGCTTTGATTTGATATATCACTCGACATCATCTGACGTTTCTTTGCAGTGTCCGAATCAACACCTGCAAAATACTGCAAAAAACAATGCAGATTTAATCTGAAAAACGGAAATATCAGCTAGACAAGAAATTATCAGAACAAGTGTGCTATTATTTAGCCGAAAACTAACCTGATTAAAAACAAGTTTTCAACATTAAATGAATTCCAGTAACTGGTTTCATCATCAGAATGACATCGTCAGTATCGGGAGAGAAAAATTAATATTGAAGCACCTGTACACAAATGAATGAAATGTCTAAGAAGGCACTGAAAATGGAATAATGAAAAACGAGTTATGTGTGAAAAAGAAACATTTTAAATAAGCAATGATTTTCATGGCCATTATTCATGGCCAACTATTCATCTAATTTTTACGTATAAATCGTACAATTTTTCATTATTCCACATTCAATGAAGGAGGGAGCGCGCGCCAAAATGCGTTTTTTTTTACTAAAACCCTTCAAAATGTGCTCAAAACATCATTTTTTTCACCTGTGTTTTTTTCTTCAAAAAGTTGCCTGCGATGCATCAAATTTTGGCAAACTAGGGTTTTTTTCATAAATTTTTTAAAAAGCAAACACATACAAAAAACTACCAGGCTGGCACACTATACATAACATTACACATAACCGCCGTTTCGACCATTTTTTGCAACAAGAATTCAGTTAAAATAAAAACCACCAACTTTATGGTTTTTTCTTTTTGCGTTTAGACTTCTAAAATTGGACAGGATTGAGCGGGATCTGTACGGATCAAACACCACCAACCATCGATATTATGCATCTTAATGCTACGTATTATAGGCGAAAAACTCAAATCGACAGTTGAATTCAATCCAGAAGAAACAAAACGTCCAAAAAATCAAAAACGATGCTTTTAGCCAGAACCCGTAATTTCTGTGAATTATTATAAATTGTCGAATAACAAAAACAAAAATTATCTAAAAGAATCACAACAGCCAACAGACAAGTGTAAGCAGGCAATCAACTCAGGAAACTCGCAGATGTTTATAAATTTTTTTTTTCATAAAGCACTTTCTTTTCACGCCAATTTATCAGCGGAGAGTGCTATGTGCCTTTCATTCAGCAAATGATTTTGAAGTGAGCTTGAAAAAACACAAGTCAAACAACGAAAGATCAAACTTGAGAGTGAAGAACTTCAAGGACTTTTTCCGGATAAAAAAAAACACGACCGATACTTATTTGATAAATCACTTCGCTCAAAAACAATCGCTATATAAAAAACTTGTTTCCAAGTATTGTTAAAGTTAGTACATTTGAGAGGACGTCAAAATGCATTGAGCCTGTCAAGAATGCCTCAAGAGCAAAGTAAAATCATCAAGTTTTCTGTATAAGCATTTATAAGTTTAGTGGTAAAAAAGTGGTTCAAAAACCCATTTCCTTCATCAGTACAGTATTTTTTTTAATTCTACCTGTTTTCAAAAGTTACCAGATAAAATCACTTAAAATCCTATTGCTTAATATGTAAAGTTTCCGAAATTGAAGCGGCAATTTTTTCAATTCTTTTTCGTTTGACTGCATAAAATTTTCTCATTCTTGTAGTAGTTGCTCTAAGAAAACAAAATTAGTCCGTGAAAAACAAAAAAACCCGAACTTAAGCACAAAAAATTGTTAAATCGATCAGAGAAAAATAGCTAGTGAAAATTACAGTTTCATAAAAATAAGGAAAAAAAATTTTTTTTCGCGCAGTTTCGACAGTTACAAATGTAGAGCGTAATTCTTAACACTTCTTGGAAACTTATTCAGCTTAGATGGGGCAGTACAACTGTGCCGAATTACAAAAGTGCCGAAAATGAGATTTTTGTTCAACGTATATTTTGAATACTGTGTTTACTCATCCTAAATCACTGACAATAGTAAATATATCAGTGTTAGTGTATAGTTTCTGAAATGCTGTGGAGAATTTCAACAGAAACAGTTGAGAAAAAGCACCTTTCTCTGATTGTTGATTTCCTCCGTGTTCTCAGAAGTTAGTTAACTACACAAAATAGTTATTTCACTTAAATCTGGGGCCTGTTGACGAGTACTGTAGTTAGAAGCAGTGGCCGAGTGGGTAAGACACGCGTACTTTAATACCGTGGGCTCGAATCAGGCTTCAGCCATGATTGGAGGGATCTCAGTCTCATCCGCCTTCTCACGGTGAGACCGGCTGCAGCAAAATGGATGACATTTCTGGTGGGCAAAATGGAAGTGGGAGCTGGGTCGGGGGTTAACGTAATTTTTTTAAAAAAAAAACAAGAAATTTTATCAACACAGGAGCTACTTTGATAGAGTGGTCCCTCAAAAAAGCAACTATGATAGGTCCCGCATGAATTTCGCATGTTATAATTTTGAAAACTAGTTTGTTTATAAATTATTCGTTATGAAAATCTGGCGAAATGATGAGTCAGAAACCTTTTAAATTAAGAATTGTAATTACTATAATTTTTATATCAAGAAATATGCTCGCTTCAACTTATTATACGGTTTAACAACCAAAATTGAATTGGCTCATTTGTCATCAAAATTCGATTTTGGCATTTTTTTTTTGAATTTTCCA